CTTGCAGGACCTAACCCAGGATTGCTCCAATTGGGTAGAAGGAACCACTCGCTGACCAAGTTCATTTGATCAGAAGATGCAGCACGCTCATCCAATCCCGCTCCCAATCCACAAGCCAAATTACGCAAGAGAGGGCCGGCCGAAATGCTCCCAATATCGAAAAGTATCTATGTGTTTGCCGCACTTTGGTAAACCTAGCCAACGGAAGGAATACTGACTAGCCAACATGCTTCCTGCACAACGTAGGCACCTGGCTCGTAAGACGCCTCAACATGGTAGCATGTTTTTTTTGCATTTCTGCCTACTGCAGGTCCTCATTACATTTGCGCGCAACGTTTTTTTGTGGATCAGTAAAGCCGTACGCGGAAACATTCACCTTTACGAGAACAGGCTTGCACAAGCGTGGCTTGGAAAGCCAGGGGATATCAGGGACGGCTGCTCATGTTTTAGCCGGACCCAATTTGTTAGGACCGAAACAGTCGATCATCAAAGGCAGCGTTTGTATTCTGGCTGAGTCGAGCCCTCCATCCATAAAGGCCGCGTGCAAAGAACCCAATCATAAGCGACCCCAATCAAACGGTTCTGGTTTGGGAGCCAGATATTTGTTCATGAGGCCCGTGAGATCGTATCGCGACCTTCCCAAATGCTCTCGGAACAGGGCTCGGGGCAACTTTTCCCTAAGCACGCACAAGTACGCCAATTGCCCACAAAGCAGTCAAAGCACGTCTAAGCACGTGAGATGCGTCTGGCTTGAAATCAGAAAGTTGCCATCATGACGCAATGAATGTGGATAGTGGATGGAACCTGCCGGAACCGGGAAGATAATGAAAACAGCCTTCAGCGGTTTGATTTGCCGCAATCGGGAAAAATCAAAACACCGTAAAGGAGTTACATTTGGAGGCCTGCAAGATTCGCATGTAAGGCTCAGATCTGCAAGAGCTAGTGCACCCACAGCCCCAACAAATAAGACTCCCATTCAAAATATTCAAAACATGTTTTTGAACAGCCACGCTCGCCTGAGATGTATGATTTCGGGTTTCCAACCCGTCCAAGGGAACGAAAAGGAACAAACTCCTTAAGCCATCTGGCACAATTTAAGGTTCTGACTGATTCGTGATGTTCCTTCAGCAGGCCCTCCAAATGCTTTCAGCAAGCCAGTTCGTGTTTTCACGCGCGGGGTTTGTAGAGCCGAGCACGCTTTGGAGTTGGAATCGTCGATGCGCGGCTCGGTGGTCAACGATTGCAGATAGCGGGTGGATCCGACAAGTCCTGGAATGACATACGCCCATGCGGCGTTCAGATGTTCCGTGTGCTTCGAATGCAGACAATCAGAATCGTGCAACGCAGTGGCGGCTGGGTATTTGGGCTTCTACTTGATTGCCATTCAAGGGCTGCGGAAATTCTTAGGCCAGCGCGAAACACACAAAGCCGGCAGCAACTTCTCTAACACCCACACATTCATGGTCCCGTGCACGTGGGAAGTGCTCATTTGGCTCTACACCGGAAAGTACACAAATACAACTACGACAAAAACCATGCTTGTGAAGAATTCCACCTGATTCCACAAATACGCAGTAGGTGGACCCTCTGGGGGTTGGTAGTAGAAGGCGCCCCCTAAGATTATCATCTGCTCTGTTTTTTTGCTGTTACGTATAATTCAGGGGCCAAGATCTTTATTATTACCACCCCTTTATAACAATCACCCCCTGAAGACCTGATCAAACAATGGGAGTTCTTCTGGCCCAGCAAAGTCGATTAATACCACCCCCTTTACAATAACGATGCTTACACCAGGGGCATTGCCTTCCACAGGAAGCCCGATCGTATCTAGGAATGCGCGGAGGTTAAGGCTATAAAAAACGCGCGGGATGGAATCATAGGTGAATGCTCAATAAAGAATCATCATCAACCATGGAGAGGTTTGGGGCCAAATGTGTAAGGTTGTGCTGGGCAATTAAGGCCAATGCCTGCATGTCAAGTCAGAAGCATAATTCTGGGCTCTTGCAGAAGAAAAATTTACATGTTTTATTGACACCTGGGCCCAATGTCAATAAAACAAGATCTTTTTTTAATTGTATTTCAACGAGCACCCAGGATTCCAACTGCAAGGGTGCTACCTTCTGGTGGTTGACGTTGTCGTTAGCTGGCCAAGGTTCGAATAAGCTTCGTTGCCATGCGGATCTCAAACCCCTATAATATGGTAGCTTCCTTTTTCTTGTCCATTATTCCAATATAACCCCAATGTTACGAACGTCGACTCCCCTGAGTCAGGGATCGACGTAAAAAAGCGTCTTTTGAGGTTTGAAATCCTCTTCGCAAATTGGGCAGTCCCTTGTCGCCTTCTGATGGAGAACATCAGTGAGTGGTTCTCGAAACTTGGACGATTTACAGTTTTTTTGTGGTAGAATTTGCATGACAGGATATGTTGACGGGAGCTTCATTGTACGGCTTTTGCCGCAGCGCATTCATGTCGCGAGGTTCAAATCGAGATGTGATCCGCACATCCTGTTAGGAACAACGTAAGCTCTATGGCAGGAAATCCTTACCTCTTGAAATTTGGTTGTACGGGGACGTAAACGATGTCATTGCGACAGCGCTGCTGCCGTGATCTTCCCAGGGCTTATTGCAGGGAATCCTTGCATAGGGTTCAGACGCACCAGCGTTTGCAGTCACGAAATTCTGGGCAGATTCCACAGCACATGCCGAAACGCTGAGGACTTTCTTCTTGGTCTACAGGCAGGAAGTTGATCCAAGATGGATTGGGGATTCAAGTTCATGCCATTCAGGGTCTGGGCCGTGTGTGGGAGCAAGAGTCCACCAACGAAGTGTTGAATGATTGTTGAGATGTGGACCCAATCATCATTTCAGAGGCATCTCAATCATCCCAAGAATGTCCAGAATTATCCTTGCACAAATCCTGATGGTTCTTTAGTAGCGCTGCGAGCGCGGAGTGGAGAAGGCTTTTGACATGAATGTGATGCACCGCATAGTGGCTCGCAAGGGAAGTCTAGGGTGCAATGGTGTGGGGATTTGTCAACATGATTTTGGCAAGAATTATGCTCCCGTTTTGGATCCGCATTACGATGCGGATTCTGAAATATACTTAGGGTACAGGAAAAAGGACACGAATTTGGCAGCCCTTCATGTGAGGCTCACTTGGGGACTTTCTGCCGCGGGCTTGTCGATCTCAGGTGCAAACGTCTAGCTGGAAGTTGTGTTGTACAAGTCAGGGATGAGAATGTTACTAGCACCGGTATTGAGCGAGAACTAGCGAGAACAGCCAGAATGAATTGTCATTGTATCACGGCTGTAGTATATGGGCAGTAGTCGTACAAATAGTGGTATGACTTTTACTTTTATTCCCCTCCCCCTAATACTAAACTTCCCCACTCCCCTAATATTACATACTCCGTATTGTGGTATATCATAGTATATTGAGCATATAAAATAATAAGGGGGTGGGGGGTTTTGATATTACGCGGATGGGATTAGCTGTAAAGTTCGTCCGAAAGTTGAAACTCATGGAAAACCACCACCCCATAGAACACAATGACCACTAGGGTTTAGGGTTCAGGGTTTAGGGTTTACGGCTTAGGGTTTAAGGTTTACGGCTTAGGGCTTAGGGTTGAGGGTTTAGGCTCCTTTTCCAGGCTTCTGAAAGACAAACCTGTTTGATCCTCAAGACGGACCCGTATAGTCCCTATATATGTCCTATGTACTTCTAGCGTCCCTAGTGAAGGCCTTAGTTTTGGGAAACTCTGCTTCTCACTGGAAAGCAACGGAAGGCTAGACGCGCCCAAAGCTGTTTATTCTGAATTCTAACCTATGCAACGGGAGGTGTCTTCTTGGTTTCGCAGTTCTCAACGTCGTTGGGGCCTCAGGTTCTTTCCTCAAGGCGCAATTCTTCCAGCGGCTCACAAGAACGTTTTGTTGCTGCGATGGATCCCAAAGGGCAGGTGTGCCTGAAATAAAGAGATTCTCTATGTCGGGCGGCAGAAAAATGCGCCACTTTGAATTATCATTCGCATGGAATGTTTTGTTATTTTCACCCGCATAGGTCCCTTTTTGGTATTTTCCATTCACAGTCTATTTGGGATTGAAGGCTACTAGCAACGAGGTTAAAACATTCATTTGCAGTCAGGATGTGGTCGCGTTGCGTGAGCGCAGATCACGTTCACGCTGGGTTCATTTGGGGTGACTGTTGAGTAGTCTGAGTTTTCTAGCGAACAATTACCCTAGAGCCCTATTTGGAGCAAGTAGGCCCCTACATTCATCTTGTTGGACATGGCGAGCATTCTGTTGCTGGTGACCATGTTCCATGGCATTTGGGATGGGACTGTGCAAGCAGCACTTAAATCCTTCGTATCATGTGTATGGTTCAGGCACGCAGCCATGCCATTATGACCCACGCGTGTTGCTGCTGTGGCTCGCCAGCACCTCTTGTTTAAAGAAAGCGAGGTCCGGACTGTGACTGCACAAGTCTGTAAAAAGAGCAACTAGTGGCGAGTTTCCTAAAGAAGCTCTCACAAGTTAATGTCAGTACTATTACCAGAGTTATTTATCATTTGGAGGAAGGGCTTCTTGTCAGGATGAGGGGTTTACTGTAAATAGACCACAGCACAGGCATTGGGCAAACCTCATCGTAAGAGCGGAAGCACGGCAACTATCTTTATAATCACAGCAGTAGCAACAATAAAAGGAGTAACAGTAGTAGTAATAATCAAAAACCTAAACCCTATATACAAAATGACAACAGTTGCGATTCGGCATCTTGAGGCTAGTTGGCATACAGAGGGCATGAGGGGAAGTCACTACGTGTACAGTACAGCCTATGTAGCAGGCAAGGGGGTTTAGGGCTTGGGGTTTAAGGGTTTAGGGGTTTAGGGATGGGATGCCAAAACTAGGTTACCTTTACACGGCCGCCAGGTAGGCAAGGTCCTAGTGCACTGATCGCGCACGAACACGTATCCATAGTTTTTGAGAACATATACCGTACAGTGATGGTGCTCGTCTTCGTGAAGGGTGCAGACGGCATCCTCCGTGCAGTCACTCTTGAGAGTGGGAGCGTAATCAGCGAGGGCATGGCTTTTAATGATGCCTTTGCTATGCTAGCACATCTTTTCTGGTTTTGTCTTTAGGCCTATCTGTTTATAAACGGTCCTCACCGAAGACCAGGTTGACTTTGAGGGTAGTCAAACAGGCAAACATCCTTCTACATAATGTTGGGCTTCAGGTAAAGCCCACCAAGGACATCTCAGCACATCCTGCTCGAATTTGGGCATTGCTGAAAACGATGACCACGGAGAGAATCATCTGCGCCTGGAAGCAAATTGCTTCCTGTTTCTCAGGTGTAAACCATCCCGCCCCACCCAGCATAGAGACCAACAAGCACATCCTCATCACGCGTTTCGTGGCCTTTTTCGAGGAGGTTAGGTTCGGAAAAAGCGGCCGACCTGGTGTGCGGACCGCATCTCAAACGAGAAGCGTGTCTCCACTGGCCACCTTGGCAGAGGCTTCTCCGAACCTGGGCTTCTGTTAAGGAACTTGTATTGTACTACGACAATAACAAGGAAACCCGACTATTTACTACATATCCATATTATGGAAGTTCTATTATTAGGAGACCTTCTTAGTTACCATTATATATCCATGTTATGGTAACTTAGTTTAAGATCCTTAACAGCACTTTGAGGGACCCTGGAGTTACTAATGGGTTAGGTAACCTAATTCTAATGGGTTGCACTAGGATTATATTGGGTTTATTAGGGGGCTATATTATACTAGCTAACTCTAAACCCTAAACCCTAATAACACTCCAGGGTCCCTCAGAGCGGCCCAGGAAGAGCAGCCAGGATGGTACAGATGAAGTTGACATCGAGCTGCGCTTTTTCGACGATGGCAGGCATTCAAGGGACTTTAATGGGCAACCCACTCTGGGAACCCCAAGAATATAGTAGGAATATAATGGAATTTAAGGACCCTATAGTAGGTCCTATTATATTCCTACTAGATTCTTGGGGTTCCCTGTTTGGCGTGCCCATCAAAGTCCCTCTAGGCATTATGACATCAACGCTATGCTCACAATGCGAAAGGGGGATCAGGACCAGGTTTTTGTTGAATGGCATTTCCGTACCTTTTTACATTTGAGCCCAACATAGAATCAAAATGACCATCTTTTAACGGTACCTCAACAAGGGAGATCAGGAGACCATGACAGCCAAGTTGCAGAAGTCGTCGTCTGACGCACTGTGCGAGTGCGTTTTCAGTCATGGGGCCAAACTCAGCGCTGGCTCTTGGATAGAAGCAGTCCAGAACATGACTCTGCAGGAGCTAGAGAAGCTTCGAAGCAGCATGACGAAGGATGCGTCTTGCAAACCTGTTTCTGAAGTGGGAGGTTGCCTTCCGGCTCTACAGCAGCTAAGAATGCTCCACGCCAAGGTTGAAGCAACCTTGCTTTTTGTGGAGGATATGCTCTGTGAGGACTTCGCGCTAACCTTCCAGGGCAGCCTCGTGAAACTGCGCGACGTGGTGTCCGAGAAGATCGGACAGCTGAAAGCGACTGGAGTCCCCACAACAGTCCCTAGCGCCCCAGGGACGTCCAGTTCTCCATTTCGCCGCTGCAAGTCACACGGGTAGCGGGAGTTGCCTCTGCAAAGCAGTGGCCGGAACAGCCGATTTTCAAACAACACAGATGAAAGTCTATTGCGCTTGCTTGGTTTAGGGTTTAGGGTCTAAGGTTTAGGGTTTAGGGTTTAGGTTCACGAACCTTGTCAGTACTAGCCTTGAGCATCTGGGTTACTGCATATCTTGCCCTACTTCTGCGAACTCCTGGGAAATCGAAACCTGATAGATCGGTCTGTGTCACGGCACTTGGCATCGTTTTTTTCAACAGATACCCAGAACCTCCTATGTAGTTCCTTTTTGAGCAGTGTACTACTATGCCTTCCCAAATTAACCATAACAAGCCCAACGAGGAACTACATAGTAGCCCCTGGGTAGGGGCATGCGCATTCAGGATGTAGTCAGGGCAGAGCAGTCACTGCTTAGCTACACACTCTCAAACTGCCCTGACCCTGCTGAACCTGCACTTAGCTGCGCAACTGAAGATGGTAGTTTCCCAAAATACGGGGTCCCCCAGTATAGACCCCCTAATTCCTAAACCCGTATTATAGGGACCCCCCCAAAACTAGTACCCCTGATTTTTGGACACCCCAAAGTCTGGCATTCCATGGGCTCCTTGCAATTAAGGCTCCAGTATGTGCCTTTCCACCTCCCACTACTGCACCAAAATGTCTCGCTAGAGTGACTACGTGAAGGGCTTCCATTTGTCGTGGTGAGTTCTCGCAGTTACGGCGAGTAAGGCCTAGAATGCAGGGTGTAAAGCTACTTGGAAGGGTAGCTGAATCAGTAGCTCTAATCCTAGGTACCCCTGTAGTACCTCTTCCCATTTTTATGGGGTCCCTGAGAGCAAACCTCAACATAAGCAACAAAGGTACCCTCATAGGAACCTGTAATCCAAGAATAAGGCAAGTGGTTGAAGGATGCAAGCCCAGCATGAGCTATCAAAGAAGATTTACATAGGGGATTATATAAGGGAGTAGTATAGGCTGTATAGGGCTTATTAAGGGAGATACTCGGAATTTAGACAATGGCTCGCATTATTTGGCTGCCAAAGCAGAGAACCGTCAAGAACAACCCTTGGCCCCAGACGATAAAGCATGGACTTCCAAGTACTTGGAGGGTCAGGGGGACTTTGTAAGTAGGTGAGTAACCCTGAATCCGCTATACTCATAGTAACCCTGAGTATCCCCATCATTAGCCTGCCCAGGTCCCCTGGCCCTCCAAGTAGAAACTCTCATAAAGTACGCAGATGCCTCATATGAGCTACTGTCTAAACTCCTAGTATCCCCCTTAATATCCCCTTATGGTAGTCCCCTATATAAGCCCCTATATAACCCCCTTTAAGGAGTTCAGACTATAGTTCATATGACTCTTACATCCCCAGCCCTATGAGCCCCACACTATTCCCGAAGCTGCCGCACATCTTTAGGGTTTAGGGTTTAGGGTTACAGGCACCATCAATACGGCACACTAATTTTAAGAACCCCCACCACCAAGGGACTATGAGAAGTGTACCATTCTTAAGTAGATAGACTATGGGGTGTATGGGGATCTTTTTATAAGGAACCTAAACCCTAAACCCTATATTGTACAGGACGCTCAGGCTGTGGAGAAAAGGTCCCATAAAACATATATGGTAGCTTCCCCCAGTGGAAAACCCCCAATATAGACCTCAAACTACTA